CTTTGACCTCTTGGGCTACTCCGTGACGTCCGGGCACTTCTTGTCACCCGACGAGATCCACTACGCAGCGGGGGCTACACGCGGAGGCAACTCCCTCGGGAAGGTAAGGGATTCCACATCGTCTCAGGCTGTCATGATTTTCAGTGCAATAACAAAGTACGTAGACCGCCTTAAAACAACTACTGGACTGTTTGTATACCTTTTATAACGAACATTGACCGCCTCAAAACAACTACTGAAGACTGTTTGTATATCTTGTATAATGAACACAGACAGCCTCAAAACAGCTACCGAAGACTGTCTGCATATCTTGTATAGTGAACACAGACAGCCTCAAAACAGCTACCGAAGACTGTCTGCATATCTTGTATAGTGAACACAGACAGCCTCAAAACAGCTACCGAAGACTGTCTGCATATCTTGTATAGTACTAGACCTACAGCCTCAAAACAGCTACTGAAGACTGTCTGCATATCTCGTATAGTGAACACAGACAGCCTCAAAACAGCTACCGAAGACTGTCTGCATACTACAGCCTCGTATAGTGAACACAGACAGCCTCAAAACAACTACTGAAGACTGTCTGCACATCTCGTCTTCCAGGTGCTTCTGTTCTCCTTCCCTCCCGTGGAAGAGATGCGTCTGTATGTGATCTACGAGTGGGTGGGGACGCAGATCGGAGAGAACTTCGGGGCGTCCCTGGTGTCCGCCGATGTCAATGGGGATGGCCTCAGTGACCTGGTGGTTGGCGCTCCCATGTTCTTCACGGCCGACGCCTCTGACATGGGGAAGGTCGTGGTGTATGAAACTTCCGTAGTAAGTGATCTGTTGCTATGTAACGGCATTGTTCCATAGTCGAGCAGTAGCTGCCTCTTACACTGTTGTCTGTGAGTGATTCACAATGACTACATAGCATAAGATCTAGTCCTTTGGATGAAAGATCATTGTACAGACAGAAATGCAATAAAAATAAGAGAGAGAGAGAGAGAGCAACAAAATACCAAGTGCCATAGTGAGTAAGTCTCCCAAGACAAACAAATGGTCCAATCCATGAAGAAAGGTGATTGAAACGTCGGAATGCTAAAGGCACTCACAGGGCATCACGGGAAGGGAGATAGATAGAGAGAGAGAGAGGAGAGGGAGAGAGGGAGAGAGAGAGAGAGAGAAGAGAGAGAGAGGGAGAGAGAGAGAGAGAGAGAGAGAGAGAGAGAGAGAGAGAGAGAGAGAGAGAGAGAGAGAGAGAGAGAGAGGGGGGAGGATAGAGAGGGGGGGGGAGGGAGGAGGATAGAGAGAGAGAGGGTGGGGGGGAAGGAGGAGGATAGAGATAGATAGATATATAGAGCGAGATAGATGTATTTGAGTAAGAATTCAGACAGGGGGGACATCCTATGGAAAGTAACTATTTTCATTTATTCTAATATAACAACCCATTTCAGCGATCCTACTTTCAACAAATTACCAAGTGTCATAGGCCATCGTCTGAAAGGAGAATGCATAAAAGAGGGGAAATGATTTGTAGATTGCCGGTGAAAAAAAAAAAACGATGAAATGGATAATATATATAATCTGATATGCTGTAACAATATATATATATATATATATATATATATATATATATATATATATATATATATGGTATCGGAATTCACTCGCAGGGACATAGCATTCACTCTATCATCATCGTGACGGTTATAACCCAATAAACCATTTTTCTAACACTCTAGACGATTATGATAATCAATATATCTTCAGCAGTAATGGTACTATAATTAGTAATAATGGTCGTCAACTCCTCTACAGCAACAAGGCGAAACCACAATAGAAAAATCTGAGAGACGTTACCACGGAAGTGCCAAAGCTGGAGCGAGATTTGGCACTACACTGGCTGCTTGCGGTGACCTCAACCAAGATGGGTTCCAAGGTAGGTTATTTGGAATAAAAATATCAACATATAGTTCATGTATAGTATTTACACGAGTTGAAACCAGACGGAAATTGAGAGAGAGAGAGAGGGAGGGAGGTGAGAGAGAGAGAGAGAGAGAGAGAGAGAGAGAGAGAGAGAGAGAGAGAGAGAAGAGAGAAGAGAGAGAAGAGAGAAGAGAAGAGAGAGAGAGAGAGAGGGAGAGAGAGAGAGAGAGAGAGAGAGAGAGAGAGAGAGAGAGAGAGAGGAGAGGAGGGAAGGAGGAAGGAGAAGAGAGAGAGAGAGAGAGAGAGAGAGAGAAGGGAGAAAGAGAGAGAGAGAGAGAGAGAGAGAGTGAGAGAGAGAGAAGGTAAATAGATAAATCTGAATGAGAGAGAGAGAGAGAGAGAGAGAGAGAGAGAGAGAGAGAGAGAGAGAGAGAGAGAGAGAGAGAGAGCGAAAGCGAAAGCATGGGTAACCCACCCAACACACCAAGTTAAATAATCATCCCCGTTTCAATAATACACAAATCTCACCTGCCAAAGGGAACGCAAGAACTCAGTGTTATTCAGACCTCCCACCCAGAGTAGCGTACATGTCTCTGGTGCTGACGTGATGCAACTCATATCTAAAGCCACCCATCACTCGGTTAAGGAAATCGAAAACGTTATGAGGGATAACTCGCTTAAATTGTGAATTGTGGCAGCGGTCGTTGGAGATTTTTCAATAACATGGTTCAAGCAGCTGTTTGTGTTATGGAGAAGGATGTGGGTTGCTTATCTTTCTCGTTATATTTTTAGGAGTTGTTTATTTTATACAAAGGGGTGTTTTTCATGTTTATGCGATAGCCATGCGGTAGTGGAATTGCGTTAGTAAAATGTTTGGTAAGTTTGGCAAAAAATTAAATATTTCTTTTGAGTGTTCAGCTATACGTAAATAATTACTAGACCCAGATAATAAACAAAAAGGGTCATCATTAATTATCTGCGTGTAATTAATTTTGTACTTTCAAGGCAGAACAAATATCAAGAAAACAAAAGATAACTCTTAATTTTCTCTTTGAATATATGTATAAGATAATGATACTATCTGAACCTAACCCTCACTTGTTTTTCTACCTCTTACGAAGGAATAATGATTAATATCTAAACCCACACATGTTTTCCTACCTCTTACAAATGCTATAATGATAATATCTGAACCCACACATATTTTCTTGCCTGTTGCAAATGCTATAATGATAATATCTGAATCCACACATATTTTCTTGCCTGTTGCAAATGCTATAATGATAATATCTGAATCCACACATTTTCCTACGTGTTACAAATGCTATAATGATAATATCTGAACCCACACATATTTTGCTACGTTTTACAAATGCTATAATGATAATATCCGAACCCACACATGTTTTCCTACCTCTTACAAATGCTTTAATGATAATATCTGAACCCACACATATTTTCCTACGTGTTACAAATAAATAATGAAAATATCTGAACCCACACATATTTTCCTACGTGTTACAAATGCTATAATGATAAAACTAACCCCACACATGTTTCTACGTGTTACAAATGCTATAATGATAAAATCTAACCCCACACATGTTTCTATGAGTTACAAATGCATAATGATAACCCACACTTATTTCTCTACGAATTCCTCCCTTCCTTTCTAGACATAGCGGTGGGCGCCCCATGGGAAGACGGCCACGGAGCTGTCTATATCTACCTCGGTTCTCCACAGGGTCTGAGGTCGAGGTTCTCCCAACACCTCCTGCCGCAGGACTTCTCTGCGCCTTTCTCGGGCTTCGGCATGTCCATCTCCAGAGGCATCGATATAGACCAAAACGGATATCCTGGTAATGTGCTTTACAAGTGAGAGAGAGATGTATGTAGTGTGAAAAAAGGAAAAAAAAAATGGTGTGTTAGATTTTCAGTGGGATCCGACGCGTTTGAGTAGTTCCCTATATTACAATTACAGGATTAATTTATGTAAATTAAGGCAGAATTGCGTTCCGTTCAATTGTTTGTTGTTGTTAGCATCATCATTTTTATTTTATCTATTTAGTTAGTGGAGGATTTTTATTACAGATGCTACAATCATTATTTTAGTGTAGATTATGGAGATGGGAGGTAGCTGTTCAGTAGTGGTTGTTGGTGTAGTATAATGTTATTGTCATCGTTATCATCATCATCATAATTATTGTTATCATTATTATTATCACCAACATTGTTTTCTTTGTAAGTAAATAAATTACACAAATAATGATAGAAGACATAATTACTCTGAAAATGTCAACTATTGGCAACTATAGTGAAAACTATTCGAGGCAGAAATAGGATAAGAAACGCGAAATAAATAAGAAATCCAGAAATAGGAAGGCAGGAATAGATGGTTGGAAGGTTAGCTCCGTGTGGGAGAGTCATCGGGGGTAGGAGGTCATCCTGCAGAGATCCTAGGTCACTCCTTGACCCCTCTATATTGGGTCATATGCTGCCCGTGCGTGTGTTTCTTAATGGGTAAAAACTAGACTATGGAAAGGTATGGAAGAAAAATGCTGGAGTAAAGATTGGAAGAGAGGAAGGAGAAGGACGAGAGAAAAGAGTATTTTCGAGAGAGAAAAAATGCAGGACTGAAGATGGGATTTTTTTTATATTTCCCATCCGGATGTGTTGGTGAAGGGAGAAGGGGGGGGGGGGGATCGACTGGGTAACAAAAACGTTTGAGTAACGGCCACCCTGATAAGACTATGCGAGGTCCAACACAACTGTTATACATAATTATTAACATGCATATTCACAGAAATACATACATATCTATCTCTCCATCTCCTAGGTATGCATTTACGTATTTCTTTGGTGCTTATACATGTCTAGACTGATGAATATGTATTTATTTCTGTGTATATGCAAGTCCTATAATGAATATTCATTGGGTCGGGCCTCGCACAATTTTGACAAACTAGCTGTATGTCTTCATATCACGAGAATATTCCTTTGTCTTTTGTGCTAGTATTCTGAATCTAATTATTTTCCATTGTCGTTTTGATAGTAATAGCAATAAAGTTAACGAAGACAGTAATGATATTAATTACTGTATTGAGATAATGAAATGCTGCTCATGATACAGTTATGCTGCTCATGATAATAAAGTTATTTTTCCATTGTCGCAATAGTAATAAAGTTAACAAAGACAGTACTGATAATAACTACTGTATTAAGATAATGAAACGCTATTAATGATAACGATGAGGATGATCATAACGATGGAAGTTGATACCTCCTCCAGTGATAATGATAATTAATGAATGCAGCCATAAGAGATAATCCTGATAAGGAGAATAATTCACATCTCTAAACCTTTCCAGACCTGGCCATCGGTAGCTTCCTCTCCGGACACGCTGTGGTGTTGAGAAGTCGTCCTGTGGTGGACGTGAGGGCGACTGTTTCCTCGAGACCTACAAGTGTTGCTCTCAATGCCACCTCGCTCCAGCTGGTTGTCTGCTTCGACCACTCGGGATACAATGTGCCTTCGCAAATTGGTGAGATGGAGGAACCTGAGGAGTTTATTGTTTGGTTCTGATGATTTTTGTTTTGTTTTTGTTTTTTTTCTCTCTTTTTTTCTGTGGTTTGTTTTATTTCGTCATGAATTCTGCTTCGTATTCTCTTCTCTCCTCTCTCCTCTCTCTCTTTCTCCCTTCTCTCTCTCTCTCTCTCTCTCTCTCTCTCTCTCTCTCTCTCTCCTCTCTCTCTCTCTCTCTCTCGTCTGCTCTCTCTCTCTCCTTCTCTTCTCTCTCTCTTCTCTCTCTCTCTCTGACGTTCTTAGGTTGTGAGAAGCTTCTGAGTAGATCTCATCGATACTACGAATCGGTGTAGTGAGATCTGTTTCGTCAGGTATGATGTAGGAGTGTTTCTGCCGAGAAATAGGGAGAAAATTCGATCGACTAGTGCTTTACCAGGAAGCCCGTCGTCGCTTGGTCGAGTACATGACGTCTATGTTGTCTCTGCACATTATTGGAGTTGATTCAGCCTTTTCTACATGTGCCTGTGATTCTTTTAAATTAGTGGAAGTGTTCCCCTGAGGTTGGTTATGTGTTCTGCGTCGAGGCGTGATGTAGTTACGGTATTACACCGATGTGATGCAGATAATGTGTATCGGGGCGGGTTTACGTCTGTGGATTAGGCATGTCGGCTTAATCAGGCATTCATCGTTCCGTGATTCTGCTGATGACGTGTGATTATCAGCCTTCTATAGGGCTGCTTGTGGTAGGAGCACTCATTCTACGTCTCTCTCTCTCTTTCCCCCTCCTCGCGCCCCTTCTCTCAGTTGATGGTGTTGCCCAATTTGAAATCAACTAAATTGTGAAACCACGTCAGGTCACCTAATGAATCCACTTTTGCAGCTCTCAAGGGCAACATCACATTGGGAGTCGTACAAGTTCCTCCGGACCGCGAGCAATTCTTCGCGCGGACAAGCTAACGGCCTATGTAGCCTTTCAGACAACGCCGTTCATGGGGACCGGACATCGTCTAAAGACTGTAAAGTAGTTACGAGGGTCAAGTGTGAAGTGTCAGTTTGTGCCATATGTGCTGTGTGTTTGTGTCTGATTTTCTTCGGATTTGATAGTCAAGTGTGATGAACGTTGACTGGAGGTCAGTTTTTTTTCTATATTCTTTTGTCTATTTTGATTTGATAGTCAGTTGATGGGTCAGTTTTGTATATTTATCTATTTTGATTCGCGTTCATGGTTGTGACAAGTTTATAAGTCAGTTTTTTATTTATTTTGATTTTTTTTATGTATTTTAATCGAAGAGTAGTTTTCGTTAGGTAGCATTTTCGGACCCGTTCTACATTTTTTTAATGGTCAAAGGCGGGTAAAATGTTTTTTTTTCTTTTTTTGTTTTTTTGTCTATTTTTTGCGTTGATGGCTGGTCAAGCTGGAAGGTCGTCTTTTATTCTCATGATTTATTTTTGTTATGGCTGTATTCATTCCGTAGGTGTTTGCGTTATCGCACTGGCATTTCGGACTCTCGTCGTACATATTTGATTATGTTTATATTTATGCTATTATGATTTTGATGGCTGGTCAAGCTGAAGGTCGATCTTTTGGTATTAGGACATTAGTTTAGTTGTTGTTTGCATTTTTAGAGTTTATGGTTTGTATTCTACTATGGTAGTTTTGTCTGTTACTGTGGTGGTGGATGGTGGTGGCTCATGGCTATTTATTTTGTTTAATGTTCATAGCTTGGCGGATATAAAAGTTGGTTTGTTTTATCTTTAGATTTATTTATTCTTGGATTCGGGATATGGCTAGGAGCGTCGTAGAGGCCTCGAAAGTCGTCTTGGTTCTTTGTCATTATTTTGTTGATCTTGTATGGCCTGGTTATTGTTTAGACGCGGGTGGAAGGTGTGTGCGGTTAGCGGTGCTAGCATTGGGTCGACTGCCATTTGAACAATATTTGTTTATTAGTTACGATATTGGTCGATGTTGTAGGAGGTGTCAGTAGATTAGTATGTGATGCCGGACAATCGGCTTATCTTCGTGTGATTGGAGCGTGGAGGTGGGGTATTCTGGACAACATGGCCAAGTCGTACTGTTAAAGCGTTTTAGGTGCGGATTGTATACTTTTCGTTGTTTTCTTATTTTCTGAATTCTCTCTTGTGGTTTGGAGGAGTATTTTCGTTAGTTTTGTAGATGTATGATCCTAGTGTGTATTGGGAGGTACGAATCATTCAGTTCGAAATAGGTCTTCTCCGGGTTTTGGTTGTTGAGAGGATTGAATTTATGAATGTTTGGTATTTTGTCTTTGTGGTTGTCTGGAGATGCTTGTTCTGTTGTAGTTTCTGGATTTTTCGTGCTTGTGGGGGTAGTTTTGGCGGGGATTATGTTTTTGATCTTTTATTGTTAATATATGATGGTTTTTTGTTCGTTACGGTAGAATTCGAATCTTTTTTTGTTTGTAGTTTCCTTGTACATGTCTGTTTCTTCTGTGTCTTAGTATTGACGTGATTACTGTTTTGTTTGGGTGTTTCTGTCTGATTGTTTTTGCTATTAGATAATAGTGGCACTGTCGCTTTTCTATTGTAGTGTTCTTGAATATTGTTTCTTGATGAGGATTTCAGAACGCTGTGTAGTTCTTTGTAGTTATGCCTTGCGAATTCTTTTTTTTTGGTAGTTGTTCTGAAACCCGCGGTGTTTCGTTTACTAGTGTTCGGAAATGCGTTTTTTCTTGTTGGTTCAGTTTACTGTGCATAATCTTGTTTTCTCTTATTTGGTGGATAAGTGTTGCTCTGTTTTTTCTTTGTGGGGCTAGTCGTATGGTCGATTGAGGGTTCTTGATCTGTGTTCGCGCTTGAACGCTCTCTTTTTGTTCTTGAATTTTCGATGACAACCGGATTGCTGTGAGTCCGGCTTAATGCTAATGTGTGTCGGCTACGGTACGTGTGGGAACTTGGTTGGCGGTGAGTGATCTTAGAGGTCTGTATACGAAGAACGGTGGGTACGTGAAATCAGTGGTGGTCTGATAGTAATGCTGGGTACGAGGGTGGTAACCCGACTTTAGTGCGGGAGGAGCATGCGCAGACCGAAGAGTTGAGTCTCAGCACCTTTTGCAATGGACGTTGTGTCTAGACTGAATTACACTCGTGGGTGGGGTAGTCGTAGTACTGTAGTTGAGCTGTATAGGATGTACATAGCTATAAAGTGCAGGCTCTGTTGGATAGGTGCAGATGTATGATGGTACCGAGAAGTTGCTCACCGTGTCCTTTTTGTATAAGTCCGGGGGGGAAGATTGAGAGCGGCGTAGGAGTTGACAGATATCGTGTAATCACGTTCGGTGCGTGTGTGTAGACTATTTTTTATTCTTTTGGTATGAATTTTTTTGTTGGGTAGCTCTTTATTATATGTTGTGTGATTTTAATCTTCTGGTGTTATTTATTCAGGGGCTAGGATGGTGCTGTGTGTGTATGGTTGGGGCAGGTGAATTATACAGGATGGGCCGCGTTGCGGGTCCACTTTTGCGGGCGTGGTAGCTTATGTCAAGTGATGACATGTAGTGCGAAGGCTGGTTAGGTGGGTGATAGTCTGTCCTAAAACTCCGTTTAGATCAGTGGTGTTTCTGGCGCCCTCTGTCGCCGTGCGTAATGTGCTCCCGATAGCTAGCAGTGCGGTTACGGAGCTGCACATGTCCTTTCTGAGAAACCGAGTTAGAGACGCTGCTTTCGGAGGTGGTTACTAAGCATCTGTGCTAGGTTGTCAGGAAGCGGGGCGGCATATTTGCATGGAGAGAAGGTGGAGAGTGGTTTGTTGCAAACAATGTGAGTGAGACCTGTTGTTTCTCTTGCAGAGTTCTAATGGCCATCGTGTCTTTTCTCTCTTCAATCGAAGGGGTGTATAACGATAAGTCGATTGTTAGGAACGTCTTTTTGCCCAGTTGGTATGTGTATATTTATGATTGGGTGCCATCGCTTCTGTTAAATAAATACTAGTATTCAATTTGCATGTTTCACTATTAGACGAAATTGCAATCAAGGAAGAGCAGGGATTTCAGTTGAATAGAAAAAAACACTCTACCGGGTGTTCGTACTGTAGAATTGAAAGACCCACAATGCCAAACTACTGAAGAAGCAATAAAACAATAGAAACTTTTGAGAAACATCCCACGAAAACAATAGCAAATTATTGCATTCACTTAAATCTAGATCTTGTACTATCCCTACGCTTTACACTATGAAAAAGAAGCCTCTTCTGTCTTGAATTTGGAGACGGAGGCGCGGCGTGTGACAGCAGAACGCTGCTGCCTTGTCCAATAGCGTGCAAGCATTATCATGATATTTATTTCATGATTTCAAGATGAGATAAAACATCATTATTTGATTTATTCGGCTTTGTGTCATACATTCTTTCAGGATGAGATATTTAAAGTTCACCATAGACATTATTACCAGCTGGACGAACCGGGGAGCGGCTCAACAAGGGGCGTGCCATCAGGGTAGAAGTGGCAGGCGAGGGCACAGAGGAAGCACGCGACAACGGCCGTCTCTTATGCCTCTAGTAACAGTGGGCGCCAAGCATCTGAAGGCTTCATGGGTATGTGTGTCAATGATACATGAGACTCTGAGGGGTTTTGTCTTTAGCGTGTGTTTTTTTCCATTTGTTAAAATAATTTGTCCCTTGGTTGGATGTCTATATGTGCGTGTGTCTATAGCGGCAGTAGGTGATTATATATGAGTTATATGTATAGTGGTATATTATATATATGATATAAATTATAGTATATAAATAAGTACTATAGTATATAATCAGTTAAAGTTTGACACAAAGTAGTGGACACAGAGATATTAACACACCCCCACATACCCCCCGCGCTTACGCACGCAACCCAAACACGCAACGGCACACGCTGATAACACGCACACGCACTTTATATTGTGATTTTTGACGATGACGGTAGTGTTTTACATCCGTCTTATGGACACCACTTATGACGCACACGCGAGGCGGGAACGCACACGGGGAACGTCTGGACGCACTGTGGGTGTTAACTCAGGACGCACACTGACCATCACACTGCAAAGGCACCACACGCGCACAAGGTCATCCACACATGTGGATGGCGGCTCGGCACAACACACTTCACACACACAGACACACACACACATGGCACATTACACACACACACACATTTTAGGGACAGGTGCACACACACACACACACACACACACTACACAACATGCACATGCACACATACACAACTAGTGTGCACACACGCACCACACACATAACGCACACACCTCTCTATCTCTCACACAGTCTCAACACATTCTCTCTCATCTCTCTCTCTCATCACACACACCACTTCACACACACACACAGACACACCATAAATAATTAAAACATTTTATAAATGTGTAAATACACCTCTACTCATTACAGTATTCCAAAGAAGAACAGATCTTGTACCAGCGTCTTGAGGAGAACAAAATCAACACCACAATAACGCCAAAGTTCCTGCATTTCTTTTCGGTGAGGATCAGAGGTGGCGTGATTGTGCAATGACCAAATGTGGTGATATTTGAGTGAATGTGATGAAAATGAAGGCCTATATATTCACGACTTTGTTCATATCTTTCCCCTTATATTTATATAAATGTTTATACTTTGTTTATATTTTTTTCACACACAATAATGGTTAAGTCTCATAAATGCCTTATCTTGACCGCAGCTGGCGAAGAATGGACCCACTCCTCTTGGCGAAGTGGAACTCGTTGTGGACATTCCGGTGAACTTCACAACCCGCGGGAGGTCAGAGACATTCCTCAACATCTATAATCCTAAGGTAAATTGCAGTTCTTTACGCTGTGTGTCGAGACCAATCACAGGTCCAGTTCCAAGTCTATGAAGGGGCCTAGTATAAGATCGCTATAAGAAACCGTGTGCTTGCTACGAGCATCGTTTTAAAAATTGTCAGAATGGTAAATAATAATATAGGTTATTATGGTCATTCTAGTTCATCGCCCATTCGTATTATTAACAAAAAAACAGGCGAATAAGAATCGTGTCCTTGCTTTCCAGACAAACTTCCAGCACCAGGGGTTCCAGTGCAGTATAGTGGGGGCCTCATACGTACCCGACGAAGAAGCCGAAGGGGATACAGTAGACATCCCGACGATCTTGGCAAACAGCAGTACCCAGCCTCCAATATATGAAAGCCTGAAAGCTTCTAGGTAAGGCAATCCGAAGGGACTTAAAGAGGACAGTTTTGGTTCTCTTCCTTAATCTTTCTTTTCGTTTTTTTTTTTAAATAAAGTTCTATTAGCTAAATTTGGGTGTAAGTGTGCGATCATGTTTGTTCGTCAGCTGTACACAGAAGGTTTTAAAGTTTGGTTAATTAATGATAGCAATACTGTTTTGTAAAGATTATGTCTTTCAATATTTAAATCGTTGAGTATATTAATAATCCCATGTGTGATAACATAGAAAAGTAAGCATAAACAGAATATATTAAGACAAAAAGAATATCCATAGAAAGTAGGTTAATTGAAAGAAGATAGTACTTTCAGAATTTTGGCATTTAATTTCTAGGTCTGACTTGAAATCTAGTATTATCGAAGGTGTCCTGTGTTATGTTTTGTCAATCGTCAGAGTATGCTGATAAACTGAGTATACTAATAAGCTGAGTATGCTGATAAACTGAGTATGCTAATAAACTGAGTATGCTATAAACTGGAGTATAAACTGATAATCTGAGTATGCTGATAAACTGAGTATGCTGATAAACTGAGTATGCTGATAAACTGAATCTCGAGTGTCTTTTCACAGCATGCAGAGCAAAGCATCTTCTCTGGAGCCAGCCATTCTGAACTGTTCGAATCCTCTGGTGAGTTGTGCTCGACTCTCGTGCCTCATCAAGTCATGGCCGGCCTCGACTGGCTTCGCCCATCTCACCATCAACTTGTCCCTGAACCTCACCGTCTTAGGTCAGTGTCTCGGGTGTTCATTTGCGTTACAGAGCTTACGTTATGAATTTTAGATTATTGTTTACGTTATAGATTAATTTTGAAGGGAAAAAAAAAGATTAGTCTGATGGCCATCAAATGCAACATGTCGAGAGTCACTGATATCTCAAGAGCTATGTTAGGTAAACACATTTATGAAATGCCTAGGAACTGTAAAGAGGTAGTTCACAGGACAAAAGCGCTGACCGGTCCTTCCTAAACACACTGTGATTAAGTCTGCTGCGCAGGTCAAGTGAGGACGTCAAAGAACTGACCTCTGCTGGATCCTCCTGAGAGACAATAGACATGCTCCTCTTCGGAGATCCTCCCTGCTTTCACTGGACCAACTTCGATTTATTTGGTGTCTTGTCTTTCTCTGCAGCTGGCCACATCTCGGCGAAGGGAGGAGCCATTGTGAAGAGTCACGCAAGGGCAAGAATTCTCTCACTAAATCCTGAGCTGAGTTTTGTTGGAGAAAAGTATGTTTCTCTCATTCTCTCTCTCTCTCTCTCTCTCTCTCTCTCTCTCTCCTCCTCTCTCTCTCTCTCTCTCTCTCTCTCTCTCTCTCTCTCTATTTTGTGAATTTTTGAAATGTTGCATATTACTTAATATAAAACTAAAATTCGTTATATTTAATCTGATTATTATTATTACCCACATTTTCCGTTCAGCAAAGAGTTACTCCTGTTAGAAAACATACCTACACAGAATTTAGGCATTTACCGTTATCCTCGAAACATATTTAGGGCATTTACGGTCTTGAATCATAATTATCTCTTTCATTATGAAGATGAGATCCTACAATAACCTCCTGGTAATCCTTCAGAGAGACTGAGTTCGTGCTGATGACACAAATACAGCCAGACAGTCTCCCTGGCAGAGGCGTTCCTTGGTGGGTCATCCTGTTGGCTGTACTGGGAGGCCTCCTGCTCCTCTGTCTCCTCGCCTACGGGCTCTATAAGGTGAGTGGAGTGTTGCGAACCGTCCAGACTGTAATACAACATAACATGGACAGTACACTTGATATGGAGAATGTATATGAAAAGAATACGTAAGGGATAGGTAATGTGTACTTTTTTAAGAGGAATAAGTTATCGTATTAAAATCACGTGGTTGTTTGAGGCTGTGGTAATCGTTACCCTGCAATAAGTAAACACAAGCTTGCCTATTCGGTAACACTACGAGTCTCAGGTGTACCTTATATTAGTAGGTATTGCCAGTGGACAACAAAAGTGATGCAATGTCTCACTGACTCGTCTTGTCTCTTACAGGCTGGATTCTTCAAGAGAAAAGAACAGGATGAAATGAAAGCCCACCGTGCACAGGTGGCTTCCAGCAACTATGGAACTGTTAACGATGGTATGGTTGGGGACTAAATGACCAGCTGAACGCCAATACTACTCCATCAGATTGCCAGACGTTGAGATAGAGGACCTAACTAACGCAAAGACCATTCCTTAAGAAGATCCCCAAGATCGATCGAATGTATTTTTTTTTATATAGATCTTGGAATGACTAGGAAGCTTATAAATGATTCTTCCCGGATAGGTCTCCTTGAGAAAACTTTCATTTCCTGATTCTACGAGAGACGACTGAAAATAAGGGAAGGTGTGATTATCTGTGGTTGAAGTTCAAGTCGAACACAGATCGCCTGAAAGGGTACAACAAAACCATTCAAATTAGAAAAATATATAAACACACACACACACACATACAGATACTCGCACACACACACACACACACACATCATGTTTGGGTTGCTCAAAGTATCTGAAAATATCAACTTTTTTTTCGTCACGAGAAGAAATTATGTTTAACATGAGATTCTTGTAAGTGGTGTGACTGACAATGATATTCTGTTCTTTTGTATGTGAACTGTTGTATAGAAAAATCCTCGTAGACTTCCTTAAGTTATTTTAGTTGAGTTTCTTTTTTTATACATAGATCTGGAATCTTTGAAATAAACATTTTAGAAAATATACTCAATGGTTTAAATTTACCTATACCTGAATCAATATGGCAATAAGTACACAACTTTTCATAGCTTTTCATAAAGTGAGATCTTTTGTGTCTTCTTCATGTTATAAAGAGGAAAGGGGAAATAATATTCAGAAGGGAAGTCTAATACTTTATTATACTCGATGGTTTAGTACCAAATGTACAATGGAATGAGATGATTAGATAAAATATAAAAGGATAATATACACTCCGGGGTTAACTTTCTCTGACTAATGGGAAAGAAGTACAATGAGTATAGTTCCCCCTTTAAGACTGTCTCATAAAAAGCTCTTGGAAATTGCTGTTACTCCTTTTTTTAAGGGAGTCGGATCCTTTTAACGCACCAAAAAAATGCAAAATTTGACAAGAGTGAGCTACACATACATATATGTTTAAGTATTATATATGTATATATATACTCTCTCGCTCTCTCTCTCTGCTCGTACAATTGTAAAAATCAATGTTACCAAAAAGTAGCATCAAAATTCCACTTCAAAATATAAATGATGAATGATAACTAATAAATATATATAATAACTTTAATCGAAAAAACAGACAAAAAATTCTTCAGTCATCTTTTCCAACTTTTCCCTCCTACCCTTCTTCGTCAGGGGAGCGGAGGGCCATAATAGCATGCTTTCCCTTCAATCACTACCTGTTTCTCCAGTAACCGTAGATTGGTGCCGTCGTAGCGAGTGCCACACAGATCCCTGGTCACTGGTTTGGGTATTAATAATTCCACATACCACACGAGTATCTGCGAATGAGTATGAAATTTCATTGATATTGGGAGCGTGAGTTAGTTACCGCCATTACCGCAAACCATGCGAATGCGTTGATTGAACCTAGACTTCAGATTAAGATGGCCTGCAACTTATTCATTTACCATTATAACGTCTGCGCTTCAGCTGAATTTTGCAAAAATATCACTCGTGTTACAATTCTGTATAAATTCTTCAATCATGATATACAGGTAATCACTGATTATTATCTCTAACCAACGCCGAAGTCTTGGCTCTAGCATCGCATTCGTATGATTTGCGGTAATAGTGGCAATCCTATCGTGAGTACGTGATGGTGTGTTAAATCTCCTCGATGGGATAAGCATGATAATTCCCTCTGTGATGGTAATTAGGATAATGCATTCGGGTTATTGGGTAAAACAAAATGATGGTAATGCTACAAGCGACTGACTAATGGATGCAGTTGGCAAATGCAGGAGCGACAGCAAATGTACTCATTGTACTGGTAAAAGCTGCAACTATAATCTTTGTGTGAAAATAAATGATTGACAAAAATTAAAGAAAAAGAATATAAACATAAACGGACAAGGATACAAACTCGAACCCACACACACATACATATGCATACATATACAGTATATATATATATACATACATACATACATATATATATATATATATATATATATATATATATATATATATATATATATATATATATAATGATAACTGGTATTAAGTAATACCAGCAATGGTAAAATCGATAAGCCAAAAAGAAAAAGAAAAAGAATAAAACACGCAACCAGGTCTTTTAAACACCCAGGCACACTCTCCCCCCAAACCACAGATAAAACGCGCTCGTTCTCTAAAGAATAGTAAGAGCACTGTTCAATAGAATACCAAATCTACCAGAAGGAACATGTCACAGAAGACCCCAAAGCACTTGGCTAAGAATTCAAAGTTTTGATCACCAACCAGAGTAGAGTAAAACACACAAGTCCCTAACCTAAAGGAAACGGAAGATTGAAGGACAGAGGCCAAACAGACGCTACACATAGTAAAAAAATCCTTTTACAAATATGTAGAGTGGAACAAAGTACACCTGAAAAGATCTTCAGCCTTGATTATGTAGGTCTACGCATGCGCTGTCTCACCTTGGTACGGAGTTCGGCCTTAACCTCAATTCTTTCAGGTGGGACGCCAAAACTCTCCGAAAAGCTCTCTTCCATATGTCATATGACCAGGCTACGTTGGCAAGAGGGCGCTGGAGGAGGGACAAAGATTTCCTACCTCCACCCCTCCTCCCCCCCTTCCTTCCCTCCTTCTTCTCTCTTTCCCTCCGCCCCTCCTTCACCCCTCCTTCTCTCTTTCCTCCGCTCCTCCTCCACCCTCCTCCTTCATCCCCCTCCCTCCCAACCCCTCCTCCTTCCTAAACTCCTCCTCCGCCCCTCCTTCCATCTACCACCTCCTTCTCTCCCTCCTCCTCCATCCCACCCTCCTCCTCCCAACCCCCCCTCCGACACTCCTCCCCCACTACCTCCATTCCTCCTTACCTTCAACAGCAGTTCCACCGAGAAGGCAAACCAAGCAAACTCGACGGGGAACTGCAAGTCGCCCTCGAAGTCATCGTACCAGCCGGAGAACCGCCCTTCCTTCACCACGGGCGTCGACAGCTGCAGGTCATTCGCTAAGCCAACGGGGAAGACAGACACGCCTCTCGTTGAGCGAATCTGCGGGAGGAAAAGGAATTAGAGTGGAAAATTGCAGTTCATTGTTACCATTGTTGATGTTTTGTTGTTGTCATTATCATTATTATTATTGGTATTATGATTGTTAGTGTATTATTCTTACATTATCATTATTTTCATTGGTATTATCATTATTAATGTATTTTTTATTCATTTATCTTTATTATTGTAGTTGTTACTGTTATTATAATTATCATTATTGTGTATATCGTTATTACTATTATTACCATTTTTTTCTTATTTTCATCACTATTGTTATTGTAATTTTCATTACCCTTCTTTGATTATCATTACTGTCACCATCATTATCATTATGATAATAATTATGGTAATTATTTTTATTATTGCGATTGTCTTCTTGTTATCATATCTACTTTTATAACTATCATCATCACGAGTATCATTATTATTGCATTAAAGTTATCATCATTATTATTTCCTTATCATTAACCTTATCAATATTGCTTTCATCATTACTAGTTCGTTATCATTATTGTTTTTGCCATTATCTCGGGACAAAATCGTTTCTCAAGTATTTTGCGAATTTAAGCTTTCATCTTTACGACAATCATAGATATCTTCACGCTAATGCACAGCAGTTATATGATCGAGTGCATTCATGTGAGTATAATGATGCCCATATAAATAAATAATTGTTTAAAAGTATAAAACACGTAATAAAAGTATTGTCCGATTATCGAGACTCGCCTTTGGACGCGCAGACAATACTTTTATTACGTGTTTTATACTTTTAAACATTTATTTATGATATGGGCATCATTGTATCATTATAAATATATCCGTTTTATGTAAGCACAGTTTAGTTACTTCAGTTCCGATTTCCCCTTGACTTTTAAGGGCTAGAGCAACCACACTGAGAGGTAGACGTGACTTCGGAATCTTCGTGTCTGACTAGGAAATAAACACACAACTATTACATTATATGAACTTATTATATTACATTATATTATATATTATATTGCATGAACGAATAAACTCAAAGGAACGATCTTAATTATTAAATAAGGGAAATTAACTATTCAATTGGGAAATGAGAAAGATGCCACTTGTGATACTCAATACTATATAGACCAACTATTTGTCATTTTGATAAGTTTTCTTTCTTCACTTCTACAACTTTTTGTCTTTTTTTTCTTTTTATTCTGATATCACTGTTTAACTTCCTTATTCTAAAGAACACGAGAAATTTTGGTAAAGAAATTTGGCATCATTTGGTAAATCAACTCCCACTCTTTCAATCTCCAACATGTTTAAAACAGCCTTTCCTCTCTAACTTAAATCGGTTTAAAATATTGCTTGTAACTACTTAATTTTCAGTTGCTGTTCTTCACCCCTGCTTTTATCAGTACCCACATCCTTAATAGTTCCAGAAGTCATTTGATAATTGCCCTTCACAAGACAGCACAGACGTTTTGTCTTGGCAATCGACCTGTCACTGTAATTATGTTTTCTCGTCAGACCTGTCACTCCATTTATCAACTGTATGTGTAGTATATGAATTTCATACATAATAAAGTAAATTTGGGGACTGTAGAATAAAACTGACGCACACAAAGTTCCTTACATTCATTTATTAATAGCAGATTACCTATGACCATTTAATTTCATTTGTATTAACCTAAACACAATACTTCATCTCATGCCACACACACACACACACACACACACACACAAACAGACACACACACAAACACACACACACACACACAAACACACACAAACACACACACACACACAAACAGACACACACACAACACACACACACACAAACAACACACACACACACACACACAAACAGACACACAAACACACACACACACACACACACACAGACACACACAAACAACACACACACACACACACACACACACACACACACACACACACACACACACACACAAAGGAAACTTTCGCCATGGTCACTCGAATCACAGTAAAAACCTAACACATACCCATGCACTAATAATGATAATAAAACAAAAATGATAAACACAATGATTATTTGAGGAATTAGTTGAAGCTGAAAATACTGACATACTGCAGTCCTTTTAACAGCATCTCAGATAATCGATATAAATATGAATACAAATCATACAGTGCTTTCACCCCACGAAAAGAATAAAAAAAAAAAAAAAATAATTTTAGGCACGGCATTACTTGCACTGATGTAATTTTTGCAAGTATGAAAAAAAATGTAAAATAATAGTACATAATCTACTCTCATCAGCCTTAAAATATACTTCGGGATCTAATCATATACCCCTTTATTATTATTATTATTATTGATATTATTATTTTGTTAATCTACCTCCATAACCTTTATTTGACTCCAATGTTCCTCTAACAAAAGATCTCAAACGTTTTACCATTGTTAATCTACCCAAAAATTACAAAATAACCGACTTAAATCCCATATTTAACCTCATTTTCATTATTGTAAACCTTATTTCATACAAATCTGTAGTTTATTT